AAAATATCTTGGGAATCAGGGTGTTTCAATATATGATTACTGCCCTCTTCTGATATGGTTAATCTGAGGGAAAATATTGAACATGTCAAAATTATCCACCAATTCAGCCATGTTGTTTTTAATCAGATAGCAGACTACCATAATACATGTAGTAAGTATATACACAAAGTATTATTTGGTTAAAAAAAATTGTTTACATCAGTTGCCCCCATTCGAAAAAAAATTTTTAAATTATATTTTTTTTTTTACTTTGTTTTTAAATTGTCATATTGTTATATTTTGCTCATATTTTGATTTTTCATGAAAATAAATTTTTTTGGTTTGTTTAATCAAACGTCGTGACAAAAACATTAAAAGAAACCTATAATGATCAAAAACATGAATATTTAATTCTGGACATTATATCATAAAACTTGTAAACACATGTCTGAGAAATCTATACAAGTGCAAACAAAAAAATAGCAATAAAATGCCATTTTCAATTAAATCATTTAACATAAATTGATCTGGATCAGAAAGTCACATGATCTTCAGACTAAGTTTGAATGAAATTTGATTGCATCTGTACAAATATAGACTCCAAATAAAATTCAGGCGAAAAAAAAAACAAGTTGTCATGCCAATGTAACTACATGTATATATTAAAATTAGGTGAATCATTTATTGTGCTTACCTTGCAAGAACTAATGCTGCATTACTAGCGGTCCATACATTCTCACTGTTTAATAGGTCAGTCACGCGTACCATAGTCGTCTCTAAACATGCATGCTGTAACATCCAATCTCGTCCTTCAGAACTTTCGGCCTTTAAGAGAAAATTACACTAGATAATTCCACAAAGCAATCTACATGTAAAGTTCACTGAATAGTCATTAAAAAATATATATGATCATACATTGACTGGCTGCGATTCAATTTGCCAAATCCATATATGGAATGGATATAGGGGAAAGCGTGCCTCGATTGGCTGTGGTTAAATTTTCTAAATCCATATATGAAATGGACATAGGTAATAGCATCCTTTGATTGGCTGTGATTAAATTTTCTAAATCCATATATGGAATGGACATGGGTGAAAGCATGCCTTAATTGGCTGTGGTTAAATTTGCCAAATCCATATATGGAGTGAACATAGTTGATAGTAGGCCTTGATTGGCTGTGATTAAATTTGCCAAATCCATATATAGAATGCACAAAGGTGAAAGCATGCCGTAATTGGCTGTGGTTAAATTTGCCAAATCCATATATGGAGTCAACATAGTTGATAGTAGGCCTTGACTGGCTGTGGTTAAATTTGCCAAATCCATATATGGAATGGACATGGGTGAAAGCATGCCTTAATTGGCTGTGGTTAAATTTGCCAAATCCATATATGGAATGGACATGGGTGAAAGCATGCCTTAATTGGCTGTGGTTAAATTTGCCAAATCCATATATGGAGTGAACATAGTTGATAGTAGGCCTTGATTGGCTGTGGTTAAATTTGCCAAATCCATATATAGAATGGACAAAGGTGATAGCATGCCTTAATTGGCTGCGGTTAAATTTACCAAATCCATATATAGAATGGACAAAGGTGATAGCATGCCTTAATTGGCTGTGGTTAAATTTGCCAAATTCATATATAGAGTGAACATAGTTGATAGTAGGCCTTGATTGGCTGTGAATAAATTTGCCAAATCCATATATACATGTAGAATGGACAAAGGTGATAGCATGCCTTGATTGGCTGTGGTTATAAGGTCATTAATGTTACAACCTGACATGCTTTCCATATATGGAATGGCGATAGGGAGTAGTATGCCTTGATTGGCTGTGGTTATAAGGTCAACTGAATCAAAACTCAGATTACAATATTACCGGTACTTACCAATGTTCCCATGGTACCTGCTGCATTCATAACAGATTCTGAATCATCAAATATAAGCATACTTGTCAGATCATCCAGTATTCTTTGTGCGTCCTCATCCTTCATCAAAGCTAACACTCTCACCTGACCTAGTTCATTTTCAGCAATGGTTCCCAAAATATAAGCTGCATTTCCGGCAACACTGAAAGCAGAGTGTAATGAAGGTAAGAAACCACCATTCAGCCAGCCTGGCATACCAAAATTTATTTTTCAGTTCAATATACCGGATTCTGTGGTAAATTCACCCATTCGAAAAATCACCCTGGGCGGTTTCACGCACAGTCAGCTGGCGCACACATGATAATAAAATAAATACGATATTTACTACAGGTATATGGGGGCCGCCATCTTGAATGCAGCATAAAACTAAATAAGAGACAAGTTGTAAAACGCGTTTTTCAGATTCCTACAAATCTGGACAAAAATACCAATCTTTCACAAAAATGCAATCCGTTGGGGTTATATTAAGCCAACCGATAACAAAATTCAGCCGAATTCAGCGTTTTTGTGTGCAAAAATCCCTTACATACGAACACCTAATTACACGAAGAACATAGAACACTTTCCTGGGGTATTTGAAACCGAAATTGTCATCTGACTGTAAGGCCGTCGCTGATTCGCTGCTGAGCTGGAATGACAATTTTTTTAAATAGTCACCACAAAATGTATCATACATAAGTACTGCCATATATGGAATGGACAAGGTGATAGTATGTCTTGACTAAATTATAGAAATTTATTAAAGAATCAACTTATCATCCAAAAAATGAAAATGCAAGATATTCAAGTAAGAAGTCCAATTAAATCTTAAAAATCATATTGTAAAACTGTTGATTATTTGCATACATTTAATATGTATGTTTAAGTTAAATACAGAAATTTCTGAAAATTTGAAATTTACTTACCGTACTCCAGGTTAGTTTAAATAGGCAATCTGGTCAAGTTGAAGTAATTCTGAGCAGGTTTAAATAATTTTTGTCAATACTGCCATCATGCTACTAACACGAGTATTATTTACAACAAAATAAAATTCTTGTTTTCGCAGTGAACACAGCAGTTTTTATTCAATCAATGGAATACCAAAAAACTCTACTGCAAAATACATGCTTCATGTTAGGACCATGAAGCATATATTAGTCAAAATTATTTAAACATGCTCGAAACTACTCATTGTTTTTTTTTTAAATAAAAGAACAGTATAACTTATTTAATGTGTTCTTTTTTTAGAATAATGCTTTATTTTGTGCAATGTTTATTGTGTTTACAGTCATAAAAAAGGCACTGTCCTAACTTCAGCAGTTACTCTCACGTAATCCAGTGCTCATGCAGTCCTGATATTAACCTGTGTCACAAAGTCTCTCTTCCACAATGAAAAGGAATTTTATTTCGCGGTGAAAGAAACATCACTGAGAGACGCTGCTGTCAGGCATGATAATGCTTATAGACACCTTAGGTGTGTAAGGTCAAAGGTTGGTCGCAGGTGATTGAACTGAATTGGCAAATCAATCAACTTGCGAGGGCAAACAAATGGCCAACTTTGTATGTTTATTGCATCTGAAATGCATCAGTAAACAATCAACAATGCCATTCATCACTATTGATGTGTTTACTGTCCATTGCAAGTCGTACCGTATCTATGTATACAGAGTGAATGCTTAATAACTTTACGCTCATCTGTAAGATCCACATGTAGTGTATACCCTATATTTAAAAGTTAACGTTGATCGCTGAGTGCAAGTTTAACCGCTGAGCACCAAAGCCAACTATTGGCACCATCCATACAATATTTTTACACAGAATATGTTGATGAAAATTTCATTTTATTTTTTTTTTTTTAAACGAGAATCAATGTCATATTTCGCCCGTCTGATCCAAAATTTAGATTGAATTTTGTGAAAATAACAAAAAACAAACCCCCATTTTGATAGTAACAAAATTGGGTGCTCAAAGGAGGTTACCTCATGACTTTACATACTACATGTACATGCACCTTTAAGTTGTGACATCATTACAAAAAGGATGTTGAACGTATGAGCTAATCTATCGTAATATATCTGGGAATAAAAATAGATATGACAGAGGGGCATATGGTCCCTTAAGCACATCTCCCAATCAGATGGCTAGTATATTCCTCCTGTATTAAAAGAAAATCTTGGTTAGCTTGACCTGTATCACGTGACTAGCAACCGGTTGCTAGGCAAATTTAACCGTCTCGCGAGATCTCGACGGAAGCGGAAAATAGCCTATTTTCTCTTTTCATCAGAGATTCACAAATACTGTAGAATACTTTATTTTCGCTTGGAATTTATTTTCGCTATTTTCGCTGAAAGGATGATTCAGTGAAAATAAAATCCAGCGAATATACTTTTTTCCCTATATTTCACATTCAACTCATTAAAAATCAGTGAAAATAAATTCCATACAAAACACCCTAAATGCCTTTTCAGCGAAAATTAATTCCAGCTAAAATAAAGTATTTCACAATAGTCCCATTTATAGTCTGCACTTTCCTTCAGAAGATTAGAACAAAAACAGCTAAATTTTTTTGAGTAAAAACTGAAAATTTACTCAAATTTTGTTTGTTGGCTCCAAAATCAGGGTTCATTTATAGAAATATGGAAGAATACAAGAATAAAGTGCAGAAAGATTTGGGGCAGGAAAGTCTGGTGGTGAAAATGTTAATGTAGAACAAGAACTCATTACCAGGGGTATTACTGATTCTAAAAAACATCAACATATATTTAACATTGATCATTCGATACATAAATTAAGACACCTAAACTATCTTTATGTTAATATGTCTACTGTGTATAAATAACAAAGGTGGAATCTGAATACAATGACTAAATGTAAAATTAGAGAAAAACTTTACCACAAAATCTCATCAGTTTTCATCATCATTTCAAGACACTGGTGATATTAAAAAATTCTACTTTATTCTAGACTCACTAGACTCAGTTCCTACATACTCCAAATGAACAACCTGAGAGATTCCAACCATTTATTATTATGATTTGAAGTAAATTTATTAAGATTAATGCAAAGTGTTGCAAACAAGTTGCATGGAGGTATATTGATCAAGTATGTGGTGAACATTTTGGACAAAACAGAAAATAATTATGTTTTCTGTAGATTTAATTTAGTAAGGTTATCATCAAAAACACAAAATTGAAGATCCCAGTAATGGAAAGGTTTCCATATGTTTTAAGGTAACGCTAAGGCAACTGATCAGAATTCTTTGACGTTACACTATAGTTTTATTTTACTTTGCTGTTGTTCACAAAACCCAGATAAAAATGTATATGATCACCAAACTTCCTTTCTGATGAAACACAGAACAAATATCTATGAAAAAGATGATTTTTGCTCTATTTGCCATTGGTTGCTATGGTAAAAGTTCTCATTGTATCTCAACATTTTGTTTAATTACATATAGTGACAAAATTATGTAGTTGGGTAAGTACGGTTATCAAGAATTATAAGAACATTCTAATGATTACCATTAATTTTCTGTGAAAAATGCTTTCTAATAAATCCTTTGGGAATTGTTCCAAAAATATTTATTTTTGTCTTGTTTTAGGCAGTTTTGCTCCAACTATTTACTGGGAAAAAACTCCTTTTGAAACAAAAAATTTTCACAGTGATAGTTTGTTCACCCCTATTTTTTAGGTTGTACATGTACATGTAGATCCTCATATCCATGGAAACATCATTATCAACATTCTTAAAATTGCTTCACTCTTTTTACATATACAAAAGCAATATGAAATGTAATGGCTATATGTATATCTTATTAATTCATTGCTATTTGTCTAGATAAAAGGGAAACCAATATATGAGAGAAATGAAAACTAATTTATAAAGAGATCCATGCCAATTTTGATATTAAAATAAGAATCCAATTAAAGTTAATGGGGGAAAGCAAAATATATTTTTAGAAATAAATTTCAATGGAAAACAAAATGTTTGCATGTTGGTACTGTAAAAGTGTTAATTAATCACTGGGTTTTAATTTTAACCCAGTGAATATGTAAAATTTAGCATAGAACACATTATCTAAATGATAAAACCGTGAATTTAAAACCCACTGAATATGCCTGAAATGGTAAATCAGTGAAAATTAGTCATTTTACTGTAGTCAGCAATAAATTTGAGGGCGTACCAGGACTTTATTTGTACACTATAACTGTAAGAATCTCTTTAGCAATATCATTGTTCTAGTCATGCTGTGAGAGTCATACGAGCTGACCATGTTAACCTGTGAAAGTAAGAATACGTATTGTATTGTACATGAACTAATGACGACATCGAGATACCCCTTAGCAACCACCACAACAGTCAACTGCCTAGCAACATAGTTCATTGATAAGACTCTATGCCAATACCGATCTTCACGTCAAATCTTTGATCTACTTATAAGTGAGTAATTACTTTGGAATACCGTTAAGACGGTTAAACTCCTTAGCTACCGCAGTACCCAACAAATTGTGATGTCTCAAAGCCTATTACTCAAATAATGGACTATTTGGAGGATGTGATGGTAGGAAAAATTATTCAAAGTATTTTGGCCAAATTCTCAATCACTCCTTAATGCTCCATGTGACACATAAAAAAATGGTTGTGCTGAAGTAACTTAAAAGCACAAACTTGTTGAACACTTTGAGTGAAGTCTCAGATCAACCACAAGACCCTAGATATACCAGTCTTTCACCAAGTGATGCTAACTCAATTCTTGATAGGTCAAATGTCCTGGCAGCTGAACATTGCAGTATTTTGAAGACAACGACTTGGCCAGAGCATTTTGTACGAGTCAAAAAAATCTTAATCCCAATACAAAATAAATTCACATGATTTGCTGAATTTTAAGTGATCATTATCATTATCACTGGGCCTCAACTTTAAAGCCAAATTTGGTGAAAATTGTAAAAAATATGTGTATTGTTCAAAGAAGGTGAAATTCAAGTCCCGTAGATGCGCAATATAATGATTATTTGGTAATTTAAACATTTTCTTATTTTCCTCATTTCATTCTGTTGAATTTTGTTCTATTATTTATACCTATGTTTCAAACCCAGTTATCTCCAGTAGTACCGGGTAATGTGGAGATTAAAAAGTATAACAATCAGTGAAGTACTTAAGCTG